AAATTAATACTAGCTTTAAGTATTTCTAAAAAATATTTCACCTATTTTGGTAAACATTGCAAGCAATTTTTAAAGTGAGTTTCTAGTCTTTACAGTATCTAATACTTTTTTTTTAGTTCTTATTTCTTCTTATTTGAAAAAGCACTCAAAATAGTCATATCAAGAATTTCTAAATATAAATTATAATAAAATCATTAATTTGTCATTTTTAAATAGTTGACACAATCTTGATAATTTTTTGGCTAGCATATTTTTGAAAGAAGCCAAAAGGCTATTAAAAAAAGAAAATAAAAGTTTTTAAAAGCAAAGATGCATTTTTTTTATTTTGTAAAAAAAGGTAACTCATAGTTGGCTCTTCGAAACACTACTAATAGGAGGTTATTACTAGACTTGTTTGTTTGGTAACCATTCCAAGTCTACAGTTAAAATGCCCTAGCTTTGTTGTTGAAACTGCTAATTTTGGAGAAGAAAAGACTACATATTAAGGCTATATATTTATATATATTAACAAAATTATAAATTCTTAAAATTTTATTCAAATCTCAAATATAATAAAATTGTTTCAAATCCCAAATCCTATCCCAAATAGCTTCACTTTGATATTAATTATCTCTTTTCAACATGTTTTCCAAATTTGAATTACTCTTTTATATCTATACATGCTGCAAAAACTACTTGTTCCAAATTCTAAATCACAATTTTATTATATTTGAGATTGAAATTTGGGATTTGGGCTTGGAACAATTTTACTATATTTGGAATTTGGGATTTGGGTGAGATTTTGAAAATTTGTAGTTTAAGTGGCATGTATATTTATACCTGTAACTCTAATTTATTAACATACTGTAGATGTTATTATATTTGTAAAGCAAATATATAATTGTGTATTACTAAGATTAGTCTAAATTAGAAAGAGCTAAACAATGCAATCTTTGAATAAAAGTTCACCAGATTGGCCACTTTTAGTAAGCAATTTTTAAAAAAAAATAGCTGAGAAAAAAGTGATAGTAAAACTTTATACTTTCAAAAAAGAGTATTAAAAATATATTATTTTATTGTTTTCTACTGTTTTACTACAGAAAGCTTTATTAACAAAAAAAACTTGTAATTTCACCAAAATTTCATATACAAAAGTATCATCTTCTGCTAGTTATTTTGTATAAAGATGCTTTTGACTTGTATGTTGAATATATAAGAGAGTTTTCAGAAAGAAAAACTGATTAACCTTTATAAAAACTATTATTCTGTATTATTCTACTATCCTCTTTGGTGCAGGCAACTTTTCAACAAAATTTTTTGAATTTCTTTGGTAGGAAAATTTGGTCCAAGTAATTGTTGGAAAGAGTTTTTGAGTATAAGGTTTTTTAAAACACTAAACAATTTTACTTAATATATCTTTAGTTTTAAGATAGTATAAAGAGAAGTTATATAACCAGAGAGGCAAATTAACAATACTTTTTAAAATTTAAAAGGACCAGAAATTAATTTATTACTTTGTAATAAAAATTTTTTTTTTTTCAAAAGAGGTCTTTCCTCTATTCTCTAATATGATTGAATTACATAGTAAGAATATATATTGATTTATAGGGGAATAAGAAGTTAGAGCTATCTATTTTTAGAATTTACTCACGACCTATTCTTGGCTAGAAGAGTCAAGACCTCTAGGCTATGCTATTAGGGTTTGTAATATTATGAGTAATAAATTGAAGCCAGATAAGTCAGAAAGTTGGAACTTGTTTTGAAGACTTTTTTGTTTTAACTTTCGTAGGTATTGGATTAATGTTTCGGATTGGTGTTTGTTGGTTACATCGACTTGGTTTCTATATTTTTTCTTGAATTGACTTTAGAATTTTGTGGTGTAGTTCTGCGACTAAGCTGGTATTAAGTTTCTGAGTTGCAAAGAGTCCTAATGAACTGTCACAGATGATTTCTAGGGGAATTTGTTGGGTACAGTATGTTTTAGTGAAGCTTTTGATAAACTGGTCGAGGTGTGGTGCCGTCACTATATGTTTTCTGTGAATCTTGTTAATGACTTGAGTAATAATTTCTTTGAGTGAGGTCTGGTTGCTAGGTCTAAATATTAAATGGGGTATATTTTCAATTTGGTTAGAGCATTTTGCACAAAATGGACTTGGGTGATTTTTTGAGTCTCTGTCAAATATTACAAAATGAGTAAGTAATTTGTTAGTTATTAGTTTTGTTTTGAAAGCTTTTAGTTTTGCATGCTTAGAGTTGGTATATCTTTGAAGTAGCTTATTTTTGAAGTTAATCTGGTCAAACGTTAGCCTCCAGTTGATGTTAATATTATGTTGATTTAGGCAAAGAATTCTTTCTTGGTGAAGCCAATTTGATCAGGCTTGGGCCTGTAAAAGGATTTTTATAAGCTGGTGTACTGAGTAAGTACTGGGTATATTCGCTAAATTTGGTATGAAGGATGATTGTATAATAAGACTAGGGTTAAGATCAATTTGGAGTTTGAAGGGTGGCATGTGAGTTTTGGGAGATTTTTCATTAGAGAAGTTAGGTATCATCGTTATTTCTTTGGCTATTATAATAGCATCGATTATCTGTTTGAGCCAATTGAAGTTGTTTTTCTGCAGTTTGTGCTGGTTATAGGTTCCCATAGTAATGAATTGAAATAATAGAGTAAAGTTTGTACTAATATTAATAATAGCTTTGGGTGGACTTATTGTTAGTATTAGTGCAACAGTAGTGAGTGTCGAGTAGATTGGTGAGTGCCAGTTTGTATTTGTGATTAACCAGGTTGTTTTTGAATTCACAAAAGTGGTGCATGCAGTTGGGTTATTTTTATGTAGAGCAGACTTGGATATATGAACCTGAATCTTTTTGTTAAGATATGTTTGTATAAATATAGATCATACTGTGGGTTGGTTATTGGTAAATATTTGTGAAAACTGATGGGTCATCCTGTAGCTTGGTGTAGGTAGGCTGATAAGTGTTGGAACTGAGGATGTATTTGCTTGAGTAATTTTGGTAAAGAGGCTTGATAAATGAGCGTGAATTTGGTATTTTTTGTCAACCTGGATTTGGTATAGCTGGTTTGTTAAGAAATGAAAGTGCATTTTGCTTTGCACAAGTTTTTTCATTTTGAATATATTCTATATATTGTTTTAGAGTTTGAGATATGTGATCCAAAGTGTAATGTTGTATTGTTGCAATATTATTTTGAATACTGGATATTTTGCCTATGGATTTAGCAGTGGTGATGGTCCAGATATTTTTGTGTAGAGGGGCTTTTTTGTTAAAGAAAGGGTTAGAATATATTAGATCAGTTGAGGGGTTGAAGTTGTTTTCTATTAGGGTTTGGATTGTTTAGAACCATTTAGGTGTTTTTCTATGTAGAATCTTATTTATATTGTGGTAAAATTGTTTCCACTCTAGTAATAGGTCATTATATATATTTAGAAATTGTTTAATATAGCCTATGTAATATTTGTTTAAAAAATGTTTTGATAGCGTGTAGTTATTGAAGCTGGCTAATTATATTGTTAATTGAGGTGCCTCTCACTTCATGAGGTATAGGCCAATTATTTGCTTTGTATGTAAGACTAATCTGTAGTGTGTGCAAAGTAAGGATTGCTTGAGCTGTATAGGTCTTGTTTTTATTGCTTGGGAATACTAGGGTTTCCTTCAAGATCGATTTATTGGTAAGTGCCGCATTCTGTAGCTGTTGAAGTCTAATTTTAAGCAAGGATTTTTCAAAGTTTGGAAAGTTTATTATTTAATTTAGGGTCCGGATATACTGTTGTTGTTGTATTTGCTTTAGTGTCTTAAGTGCATAGATATCAGAATGGTGGATTGTAGAGTTAGATACCGATTTTGCCAAGCCAGCCTTGTGTTTGACTAGACTTGTATATCTGCTAGTAGTTTGGGTCATTTGTGTATTGTTAAGGTAGGTACATTGGAGTTGATAAGCTGTATGAGCGAGTAGAACATTATTTATGATATAGACTGCTTGTTTTGGTGTAATTTTTGAATGTCTTAGTTTGTTAATACCATTGTTTATCTCTCTTATAATGTGTTTTTGTACAGGTCTGTACGTAGGGTCTCTGGAGAACCAAGTCCTGAGATGTCTAAAAATTGCCTTAGGTGGAATGTTGTGTATTATATCTTTGAGAAAATTAATTGAGAGTGCAGTACTGTTGTCATTGGTAATTAGTATAAATTTATTGGGATTGACTTTGATGTTTGTATATTTCAGAAAAGATTGGTAATGTTAAGGATTTGTTGCAGTTGAGGTTTGGTGTTAGCTATCTATACAGTATTATCCATGAAGGCTGTTACCGATGTATGATATGTTGTTTCACCTCAGGGAGATGTGGTTTTTATTGTGTATCCAGAGATTTGTTTGCTAACTCTTGAAATGAGCAGATCGTAATAGATATGCTATAAAATAGGGGAGATTGTCTCTCCCTGATCGATACCATTCTCGACTTGGTAATAAGAGATAAGTCCATAGTTTGTTATAACTTTGTTTTGACATTGGGAAAAGATAGAAGATAGGAGATCGATGATATGTGATAGTATTTTTATTCGTTTAAGGGCTAGTACAAGAAGTGGTATGTGAACTGTATTATAAGCCTTCGACATATCTTGGGCTAAAATTCAATAGGTTTTGTTATTAATGTTGCTATCTTCGAGTATATGTGATATACTGTATAAGCATGTAATAACACATAGGGGTGCATTATTTCGAGCCCCTGCATGTTATTTCAGGATGCATATCGCGATAATTCAAATTATTATGCTAATTTTGAAAAAAATTTCAACTACTTTCTTGAATGATAATTTGTTATATATGAAGGAGTGCATTATTTTGAGACATACATGGGCGTTATTTTGAGTCAAATATGCTATTTTTAAAAAAATCAAAATTTTGAAATAACACCCATGTGCATATTATGCGCGTATATAGTAGTAAGTATGGGTCAAGTGTAGAGGTGTAGGGTAAAGCTACATTGTTGTGAGGAGAGAGAATATTATATTTGAGTAAAATATTGCTGAGGCGCTGGGTGAGTATTTTGGTGAAGATCTTGCATGCATGTTTAATTAATGTAATAGGTCGAGTTGTATTTAGGTTATTGTTGTAGGTAGGTTTCTTTGTGATAGGCCAAACATTTGCTTGTAACCAAGTTGTTGGTATGGTTTGTAGGGAAAGACAAGCATTGAGGATATGTAGAAATGTCGAGTCACCAGTAGGGCCTAGGTGTTTAAGCATCTTGTTTGTTATGCCAGTGAGTCCTGGAGCTTTCTTTAAAGGAGATTCGGTTAGGGTCTCGTTAAGTTCTCGTAGCGTAATTGGTTCTGTTAAGTGATTATATATATTAGCAAAGATATAAGTTTTTGGCTTATATTCTTCTGCCCAGTCTGGTGCTAAGTTAAGGTTTGGGGGATTGGCTTTTGTCTAGTTCTGAAAATGATTGTGAGTAGTTTCTTTTATTTCAGGCGAGTCGGTTATGATTTGGTTGGGGGTGATTATTTTTTCAAAGTTGATGTGGTTAGTACGTCATTGTAATATACTGTAAATTATATAAGTCGTGTTGTTTTGCATATCATCATAGCGTCTATCGATATAGTATTAGATTTTGTCTTTTTGGTTTTTTTCTGCTTCTAGTTTGCATGTTTGCCATATTGTTTTTGTCATTTCTTTAAGTTGCACAAGTATCACTGTGAGGCCTTGGTTGGATGGTATGACAGATAATAGTTGTGGAAGTAAGCTGCCTGCCTTAGATATTTTAGTATTTATTGTATCGTATAAATATGTTTGGGAAAAAGGAGGGTATATGCTTTTATAGCTGTAGATTGTACTATTGATTAGTTTTAATGCTGTATAAAGTTTGGTGGCTTGCAGAGAGTAGGCATGGAATGTTCGAGGTGTAGTGTATGAATAAGATATTATGGCTATAGCTGATTGTGAGATTATGTTAGAAAGGATATTCTAATATTTATTAAGAATAGTAGTATCTGTTATCGGTGATTGAGGTAAATTTTGCTGAATTTTTGTTTCAGTAATTTTTGCAAAGGTATGCCAACTGTTATTTGTTATTTGTTTATAAAGAAAGATTTTTCTTTGTTTTTTTTTGATGCACCGTTTGGATATAATAAGGTGAGTTCGCCAAGTTGTCAAGATTAACATGTGGTCACTATCTGTTATACCATCTGCATTAATTAGTTCTGGTGTTTCGAACTGTAGAGTTATCTCAGTGTTGGTTCATATATCATCAATTTGGCTGTGTTGGTTTTGTCTACTCCATGTAGATGTTTGGATAGAATGAAAGTCAAGCAAACTAGTTATAGATGAGGTCTCAAGAATGTTAAAGATGGAGTTGTGTAGTGTTCAAAGACAAGCCGGCTTATCACGGCTTGCTGCGGCTTAATGCAGCTTATCACATGATAAATTTGAATTTATCACCAAGTTATGTGATAATCACGAAAATATCACATGACAAATTCGAAGATATCACATGGCTTGGTGATAAATTCGAATTTATCACGTGATAAGCCGTAGCAAGCCGTGATAAGCTGGCTTATCTTTGAACACTAGAGTTGTGTGTCTTTTTTCTATTTATATTGTCATTGAAATTGCCTAGGACGATAGAGTACCATCTTTTCCGCCTAGCTTCTTGGAGCCATAGATTAATTAAATTGTTGGTTGCTCTGTGTAAGTCCAGATGGTTGGATAGTAGGTATGTGGAAATCAAGCAAAGCTAGGTATTTGCTGGCAAAAAGAAGTCCATGCACAAGGCTATACCAGAGTGGGTTTGGATATTGTGGATGTATGGTTGTAACTAAGGGTGAATGGCAATAGCAGTGCCAAGGCTAGCCTCTCTAGGTGCATTTTGAATGAGCTGGTGGTTAGACATATAAATTTTGTATAGTGGGTTTGATACCGCTATTGGATTTTGATTCTTGAGTTTGGTCTCTATAATTGAAATAATGTAGTAGTTTTGTTGAGTACAGTGTTCAAGAAACAGTTGAAATTTGAGATGGTCGTTTAAGCCTGAAGCATTATGGGTAATACTGTAATATTAATGTGATCAGTTATGTCAAGAGATGTCTCTTCAGGAGGTGGTATATATAATGTTGGAGTAGGACTGTTGGGGACAGATCTGGTTTGCGGTGAGCAGTTGTGTGTAGAATCATTTATGATAATGAGGAGTAGTTGTTAAGGATATCCCATTCAGGGTCAGATAAGTTGGGTAGGTTGAGTAAGTAAGATGGGGTGCCTTGGAAGTTGAAATGTTCCTGTAGATCTGCGATTGTCATTTCAATTCGGTTGTGTTTTGTGATAGAAACCTCAATAGTGTGGTATAGTTCTAACTGTTCCAAGTAAGCTGTGATTTTAAAAAGTTGGTTTGGTAGTGGTGGTTTGGTTGAAGGGCCTGCGTTTGTTTGAATTTCAATCCACTCGATGAGTAATTGGTAAAAGAAGTAATATTCTCAAAGAAGACGAGCAGTATCAACTAGTACTTTTGAACTATTTATAGGTAAGGTTAAGCTAACTTCTGTAATAAGATTAGGTTCAATTGGAAGAGGAGGCTTGTTTGTAGGGTTGGCAGTCATATATTTGAGTGGGAGTGAAATGTTAAATTTATAGGAGTCCTAGATTTCTGCAACAAACTCTTTGGCTAAGTGCGTATTGGTTATTGGGAATATGTAATCTCCAATGGTATGAATTGAGTAGGGGTCAGCTGGTAGTAGTTTCTTTTGTATAAAGAAGTCATTCGGGACTCATCTGAAACTGTAGTGTTCTCTGAGAATATTGATATATTTTTTGAAGTCAATAGCATCTTGGAGGTTGCAAGAGAATAGATTATACTTGCTAGCAAAACCTGGACAAATTCTAAATAATAAAAAAACAATTGCTATTTATAAAAGATTAAATCAAATAAATAATCTTAATATTTTGTA